AGAAAAAAGAAGTATAATTGATATGCTAAGAAAGAAAAGATAGAATTATATAAAATTCTCAGTTAAAACCAGAAGTATAGAAAAAGTGTGGAAGACACACAGGAACAAAGAACAAAGCAACAAATATGGTAAATATTAATCTGCCTATATCAATAGTCACCTGAATCATTAGTGGTCTGAACATACCAATTAAAAGATTGTCAGTGGATCAAAACCAAGACCCTTATGACTACAGTTAACAGTACTGTGTTGCATATTCAAAAGTTGTTAAGAGAGTAAATCTTAAAATTCTTATCACAAGAAAAAATTTTATAACTGTGGATGATGACTGATGTTAACTAGACTTATGTGGTGATTTTTTTTTGCCATATATGCCAATGTCAAATCATTACTTCGTACATCTGAAACTAATATGTCAGTTCTATTTCAATTAAAAAATAAAATTTAAAAATATTAAAAAAACCAAGACCATTGTACATTGTATATAAGAAACCCACTTATATCTTAAAGACTTATAAAGACTTATAGATTAAAAGCAGAATGGTAAGACAGATACACAATGCTAACACTAATCAAAAGAAAGCAGGAATAGCTGTATTAATTTCAAGTGGCGTGGACTTCAGAGCAGGGAAAGTTATCAGGAATAAAGAGGGGCATTACATATGGTAAAGGGGTCAGTGCTCCACGAAGACGTAATAATCCTTAATGTGTTTGCACCTAATAACAGTGTGTCAAAATATGTGAGTTAAAAACTGATAGAACTGCAAATATTATAGAAATAGATAAATTCACTGTCACAGTTGTTGATCCCCCTCTATCTGAAATGGACAGATATAGCAGGCAGAAAATCAGTAAGGACATAGTTCAGCTAAACAGTGCCATCGATCAACTGGATCTAATTGACATCTACAGACTACTTTATTCAACAACAGCAGATTACATGTTGTTCTCAAGCTTACATGGAACATTCAACAAGATAGATCACATTTTAGGTCATAAGACACACATTAGCAAATTTAAAAAGGATAAAAATCATACAATATCTGCTCTCAAACTACAGTAGAATTAACTAGACATCAATTACAGAAAGATAACTAAAATCCCCAAATACTTGGAGATAAAACCACACATTTTAAACCAACACATGGGTCAAAGAAGAAATTTCAGAAGAAATTTTAAAATATTGTGAACTAAATGAAATTGCAACTTAAAATCTGTACAATGCAATGAAAGCAGCACTTAAGAGAAATTTGTATCATTGAATGTACATATTAGAAAAGCAGAAAAACTTTAAATCAATAATGTAAGCTTCCACTTTAGGAAACTAAAAAAAGAAAAGTATGTAAAATAAGGAGGAAAAATAATAAAAAAATTAAAGCAGAAATCAATGAAATTGAAAAAATATCAGAGAAAATCAACAAAACCAAAAAGCTGGCTGTTGAAAAGATCAGTAAGGTTAATAAGCCCTTAGGCTAACTGAACAAAAACCAGAGAAGACACAAATTACTAATATTAGAAATGAAAGAAGGGACATCACTACAGATCCCATTGCCACTAAAAGAATAATAAAGGTGTTTTATGACTGTTCACAATTTTGATGACCTAGATGAAATGGACCAATTCTTTAAAAGACACAATTTGCCAAAACTCACAAAATAAGAAATAGAAAAATATAGAAAATAGAAAAAAAATTTAAAGAAATTGAATCAATAATAAAATACTTCCAAAACAGAAAGCACCAGACTGAGACAGGTTCACTGTTGAATTCCACCAAACATTTAAGGAAGAAATTATACGAGTTTTCTACTTCCTCATTCTCTGAAGTCAATGCCACCCTAATACCAAAAGTAGACAAAGACATTGCAGAAAAAGGAAAACTGCAAACCTATTATCTCTCATGGACAAAGATGCAAAATTCCTCAATAAAATATTAGTAAATCAAATGCAACAGTATATGAAAAGAATAGACACCATAATCAAGTGGGATTTATCCCAGTCACACAAGGCTGGTTCAACACTTGAAAAATCAAGTAATATAATCTATCACATCAACAGGCAAAAGAAGAAAAATCACATGATCACATCAATAGATGCAGGAAAAACATGGGACAAAATCTAACACCCATTCATGATAAAAAAAACTCTCAGCAAACTATGAATAGAGATAAAGGTCCTTAACATGACAAAGAGCGTACAGATAACACATACCTAATATCATACTTATTGGTAGAAACTTGAGATTTTGCCGCAAAGGTCAAGAACAAGGCAAGGATGTCTCCCCTCACCATTACTTTTTAGCATCATACTGGATATCCTAGCTAATGTAACAAATAAGGAAATGAAAGATACAGATTTGAAAGGAAGAAATAAAACTGTCTTTGTTTGCAGATAACATGATTGTCTACAAAGAAAATCTGAAAGATCAACAAAAAACCTCCTGAAACTGATAAAAATTACAACAAAAGTTTAATAATTGCCAGGGATTGGGGAAAGGAAGGGATAAACAGGCAGAACACGGAAGACTTTTAAGGCAGTGAAATTAATCAATACTATACTACAATGGTGGATATATATTATTATACATTTGTCAAAAGCCATAGAGTATACAAAACCAAGAGTGAACACTAATGTAAACTATGGACTTTGAGTGATGATGTATCAGTGTAGGTTTATGTAGGTTTATCAGTTGTAACAAATGTGCCACTCTGGTGCCTGATATTGATAATGCGGAAGGTTAGCCATGTGTGGGAACAGGGTATATGGGAACTCCCTGTCCTTTTGCTATGAACTTAAAACTGCTCTAGAAGATTAATTAAATTTTTAAAAAGTAGCTCACAGTATGGAGAAAATAGAATTGGATCTCTACACCATGATATTAAAAAGCAAATTCTAAGTGGATTGAAGACCTGTGTGAAAATGAAGTTATAAAGCCTATGAAAGAAAATACTAGAGAATGTCTTTCTGATCTCAGTTTTTTAGGCAAGCCCAAGAAAGTGCAAGCCATAGGAAAGGAATTGATAAATTTGACTAGATGAAAGTTATTAAAGAATTCCGAATATAAGATAAACATCTGGGTGACACAAAGATGTTTGTCAATGATGAGCAATTCATATTGAGAAAGTCCTACAAACCGACAAAAAGAGAAAAATCCATTGGTAAAGATTCTGAACTGGCAGTTCACAGAAGCACCCTGATACATTTATAAAGCAATGCCCAAACTGGCTAGTATTAAATGAAAACATGCTGCTATTTTATAGCAGATTAGAAACAATTAGAAAGTCCAGTAATCACACGTACTAGTGAGGATAGTGGGAAGTGGGAACAGGTGTGCATAGCTTGTAGACTAAAAATAGGTATACCCATTTTGCAGAGCAATCTGGTACCACCTGTAAAATTAATATGACTAGACCCACAACCTCACAACCAGCAGTTCCACTACATGATTTATATTACTGAGAAACTCTTATGTAGGTTCAAAAGCAGAGCAACTTGAGGATTTGCATTACAGTAATGTTTGTGGCGGAAAAGAGCTGAAGTCAGCTCAGTGCCCCTCACTGGGAGAATGGTAAGTAAAATGTGGTCTATGCTTGCAGTGGAGTACTAGGCAGCAGGTAGTATCTGTTACATTCACATGTGGTAAAACTGACATAATAAGATTAAGTGACCTGTATGGCACATGGAACGCTGCTCAATGTTATGTGGCAGCCTAGATAGGAGAGGGGTTTGGGGGATAATGGATATCTGTTTATGTGTGGTTGGGTCCCTTCATTCCTTCACTGTTCCCCTGAAACTATCACAACATTGCTTGTTAATTGGCTAACAAAATACAAAATAAAAACTTTAAGGAAAAATTATGTAAAAGAAATATTAAAATACAAAACTATGTAATTTCAAGTAAATTATATATATACATATATGTATATATATTCAGAAGAACATATATTAAATACTTAGGAGTGAGTGGCAAATAAAGGAGAAAAATGAGAGAAGAATAAAGAATATTGAGATAAATAAAATGTCTTTGTTTCATCACTGGACAACAGTGATAAAAATATATGATGTGACAATTTTTTAGCTGCTTTTCCTAAAGAAGAGGAATTTTTAAAAATGTTTTTAAGTAAAATAAATATAATATGGATATAATCTCATTAAATTGTATTTGAAAATTTAATGAATAATTCATATAAAGCACTCAGCTTAGTGCCTAGCCTATACTAAACACTCAGTAAGTGTTATCTCTTAATGTTGATACTACTCATGATACAGCCTACTAGCAATCAATTGGGGTTGGCACTTAAGATCCATTGGACTTAGATGATTTTCCCCAAAAGATCCTTCCAGATCTAATAGTCTGTGGTTTTATGAGAGGGATAGGCAAGTCCTGGCGGCAGACCCAGAAGCAAGCAGAAGAATGGTGAAAACAGCTTTGAGGAAGGGGGATGGCTACCAGCTTTTCTGCAATGTCGTGGAAAACCTTGATGGCTAAGTTGAGAGAACACCAGTAAAAGGCACAAATAAAAGAAACACTGCAGAAGTGCATAAAACTGGGTGCCTTTACGTACTTTGGTATACTTCCTCCACAATGGGGGAGTTTCTTTTAACATTTTAATTTCAAGTTATAAGATTGAATCATGAAGTCTAGGTATATATAGTGTTTGTTTCCGATTCTCTCTTCCCCATCCTCCCCCTTCCCTGAACTGGGACCCAGGTTATTGTAATCAATGGGCAAGATCATCACCTAGTGGCCTGTCCCTCAAAGTGCTGACATAAGATCCTGGTCCCAGAGAGAAGAGAACCTGACCTATATATCCTTGTCTTTATGTTAAGTGAACAAACATTGAGTGGGACTCTGTGCCAGGCAGTATTCTGGTGTCCTGGGGATATAGAACTGCTAACAGAAAATGACAGATTTAAAACTAAAATTAAGGAATTGTCAACACGACAACTTCCCAAAGTGGCATTGCCTTTTAACATGTTTATTTTCCCCTGGTTCTCCACAGATCATAGATGAAGAAGAAACACAGTTTATGAGTAATTGCCCCGTTGCGGTCACAGAAAGCACCCCACGGAGGCGGACGCGGATTCAGGTGTTCTGGATAGCACCACCTGCAGGAACTGGCTGTGTCATTCTAAAGTAAGTGACCAAGGATTCCTCAGAACTCTTCATTCCCCTTCCTTTGTGGCTCATGGTGTGGTTGCAGAAGGAAAAGTGGCTTTCCTGGAGCCTCAGACAACCTGTATCATCTCTCTGCCCTCCATTATCTTGACTCTAAAATGGGACTATGGGCCATCTTTCCTAAAGTGCTTTAAAAAGTATCAATTACCTGAATCTCCTTGCTCCTCTCCTATAGTGGTCTTCTGATTACTATCTTCCTGGAGATAATGATCCTACGTCTGATTAAGAAAAATTACAACCCTGCTGAGGATAATTTTTGGCTTCGTCCATCTTGAATTTAATGCTCTATATTCTTAAACTGTGCTAAGTGGACTGAGACCTAAATATAACCTCCATTGGCCCCAGGCTCAGCTTCATAATCCCGTCTTCTTCCTTCTCCCATCAAAAATACCCTCTTGCACCACTTTTCTGGGGCCTCTTGATCCTCCTTTAGGCAAGCCACAATAGGTGATGAGAAGTATTAGCCAGTCAATGGCTTTGCTCTGAAAGGCAGCATCATTTCAAACCTGTGTTTCCAAAATTGTATGTCATAGAATGATGTTCAGGGAGATGTAAACAAGTGGGCAGGAAATCAATTTCTATGGTTAAATAAGTTTGGAGAATTCTGTATGCTATATATCCCCTTCTTGCCGATTCACAACATATATTAATATATTGAAGGTTTTGCAAAGTCCTGCCAAAAAGAAATCTGTTTAACTTGGTTTCACCCAACATTTCCTAAACCTGACTGCAAAGTTCCTTTTTTGCTGAGACATCTATTAACATTCAGCAGTTTGAGAAATACAGTTATCACCTATTTTAAATACCATATTTTAAATACATTTAAAGGCTATATAGAGTGATGCTGGGGAGTTTAGGATTTCAGAAGGCCAATAGTCATGGGTAGATGAGCAAGGCTCCAATGCCAGCATCTAAGAAACATTTTTTTCCTGGAGTTAGGGGCTGGGAACTTCCCAACCATCTTCCACTTCTTTAGATCCCCCAAGGCATTATGTATATATTTGGTTCACTTGTTTGAACCTCTAGCAGGAGAATATTTCTGAAGACTTACAAGTCCAGCCCAGTCCTGAGAAGAGACTGGTAAGGAGGCATTTCACCGAGGCTCTCTAGTCATTGAAGTTTCTTGATCCAACTGTGCCTGACCTATGGAGGTGCAAAAAAAAAAAAAAACCCACAGAGATATCTGGAGCCTCTGTCCATTGTCCAGACTCAGCCCTGGATTTGGCCTGGCTTTGTTACCATCTGTATGGATATCATTGTTTTCTTTAGTTTAATGCTAGCTGAGCATCTTTTCTCACACTCCTTGAGAAATTTGACTTTTAGCATTAATCTACATTGGTGATTTTTTAAATTTAGCAGTAGAATTTATATATAAGTATAAACTCCATATATAATGTGTATCTAGTATCTAGCTGCAATGTGGGAGAAGGCCTTGTAGAAATAAATGAAGACCACTGAAATGAGAACAGAAGCTATTTATTCAGAGGTTGCTCTAAAGCAAGGGAAGTCAGCTGCCGACTCAAAGACAAGTGAGGAGTGGGAAAGCTTTATAGTGAAAAAAAAAAAAAAAAACAGAGAAGATTTAGGTACTTTCTGACTGGAGATATTTGGCGTGGGGAAGTCAAGAGCGGGCTTACTAGAAATGAAGCATCTGACGTGGTTGGTTTGGAGAACATATTTGGCTTTCTCTGACTGGTCCTGAGCTGGAAATAGAGGAGGCAGTGGGGGCAAGAATTCGAGAGTTGGCATCATTGACCAGGTCCTAACCATGCTGGTCTAATAGCTGCAGAGGTTGTGATTTGGCTTCCTAGACCATTCGCTGCAGAGGCTGGGGTCAGAGTTCTTTAGTCATTGTTATATACAGCCTGGCCTTTGTCCATTAGTGTATTCATTCGCCGCGTTCTCAACCTGGCTTTCCTGTACCCATACCCCTGTCCATGGCAGCCCTATGACTCCACAGAGACTGGGGCTCTCCAACATTAGATCTGTCTGATGAGTCTTCTTGTTCAAGGGGCTTCCCTGGCAGCTTTGCTGGTAAAGAATCTGCCTGCAATGCGGGAGACCCCGGTACGATTTCTGGGTCGGGAAGATCTACTGGAAGAGGAATAGGCTCCCCACTCCAGTATTCTTGGGCTTCCCCGGTGGCTCAGCTGGTAAAGAATCCGCCTGCAATGCGGGAGACCTGGGTTTGATCCCTGGGTTGGGAAGATCCCCTGGAGAAGGGAAAGGCTACCCACTCCAGTATTATGGTCTAGAGAATTCCATGCATGGACTGTATAGTCCATGGAATTGCAGAGTCGGACATGACTGAGCGACTTTCACTTTCACTTTCTCTAAAACTCTATTCCTTTGGCATAGATGTCTGGTTTTCTTTGATTTATTGTTCTCACAAACCAGAAGTATTTGATCTTCCTGTTGGAAGCCAGAAAGACGTCTCCTTGTTTACATTAAAAATGAACATATGTGAACATATGTCTATAAATTAACATTGAACAAATGTGGCTTGTTCAGTCACTCGTTCTTTCAGTAAATGTAACTGAACTTCTGTTTGCACAGGTGTCAATATTATACAGGCAACTGAGGTTAAGTTCTTGGCCCTCAAGGTTCTCAGAGGCCAATGGAGGGGAGAGAAAGGGGCAACCAATACTTTCTGTCTGCTGTGAACTCAGCTACACATCTAGCAGTTTTTGTCTAACTTAATTTTCACTACAGACTTCCCCTTTGCATGCAGGAGGTCACAAGTCCCAGTGAATTAGGCAGTTTCTTGAAGGTGCCCGTCCATTTAATGCTAAAGCCCCATTTCTTCCTTTCATCTATTTCTGAAGGAATTAAATATAACCTACAACTACTCACTAAAGAAGTAATGATTTTATAGGTGAGATGTAAATACATTCACATTGAAAAATTTCACACGGTGTAGAAAATAGTGAAATATGGAAAAATAGAGAATACAGAAAAAGTGAAAGATCCCTGACATTTCTCCTGATAAATCCCACAGTCTTCTACGCAGAAGTAGCAATAGATATCAATTTGGTGTGTATTTGTTAGACTTTAATGTGTGCATTTATATGTATTAATATATAAATAAACATATAAGTACCCTTTATATAAATGGCATCATGGTCTGTGTGATGTCCTGAACTTGAATGGATTTTAACTAAATAAAATGTATTAGAGATATTTCCAGGTCAGAACATATGGGTTTATCTCTCTTTTTAAACTGTTGCATATAATCTACTGTGAAAATGTGTTAATTATTCCATAGTTGATGGACATTTAGATTGTTTCCAGTTTTTTACAATTACAAATAATGCTATAATAAACATCCTTATATATGCCTGCTTGAGCAAATATGCAAGTTTTTGTCCATGGTAGCTGCCAAGAAGTAGGATCATAAGGGATACACATTTATAATTTTAATAGACACTGCCAGATTTTCTTCTAGAAAGCTTGCCAACTTAAACACTCTCCCTGACTGTGAACAAGAGAACTTGTTTCCTTACTTGCTTAACAACTCTTGATGCTTATCATTCTTTAAAGTTCTGCCAATCTGATAGTTTAAAGTGACATTTTGTGGTGATTTTTATTTTCCCAATTACAAGTAATATTAGAATCTTTTCAAATATTTACGCCATTTCTCTTTTCTGCAAATGGTCATGCACATCCTTGTCCACTTTTCTGATAGTTTCTTTTTAGAATTGATGTTTATATATATATATCTGGTGGCTCAGTTGGTAAAGAATCACCTGCAATGCGGGAGTCCCCTGGAGGAGGGCATGCCAACTGACTCCAGTATTCTTGCCTGGAGAATCCCCAAGGACAGAGGAGCCTGGCAGCTGCAGTCCATGGATTTGCAAAGAGTCAGACATGACTGAGCAACTAAGCACACAGCACATATATTTCTGTATATTTATATATAAAATATATTTGTATATTTTGTATATACAAATATATTTTGTATACAAATTTGTATATTTGTATATTATGTATAAAATATATTTTATATAAAATGTATACAAATGTTATATATAAATGTCTATAAATATATAATTTTATAAATTTATGTTTAAAATTGATCCTTATACAGTACAGATAATAACAATTTGTTACAAATTTCAGACCTTTCTTTGCTTTCATCATCATAATTAACTTTGCTTTCATCATCCAGAAATTTGAAATTTTGCTTTTAATCAAATATATCTATTCTTTCACTTATGAATTTTAATTTGTATCCTGGTCTAAAAATAATCTTCCTACACAGCCAAGGTTATAAATATATCCCCATATTATTAATATTTTTTATAGGTTTAAAAATAAATTTAGGTCTTTAATCTTCTTGGAATTTACTTTTGTGAATAATATGGCATCAGTAGGCCTCAACAGAAGATAAATGGCACACTCAGCAGAAGTGCCAGTCAGGGGTCCATTTATGATGAAAGTGTTAGTTGCTCAGTCATGTCCAAATCTTTCTGACCCCATGGACTGTAGCCTGCCAAGCTCCTCTGTCCATGGAATTCTCCAGCCAAGGATACTGGAGTGGGTTTCCATTACCTTCTCCAGGAGATCTCCTGACCCAGGGATAAAACCTGGGTCTCCTGCATTGCAGGCAGATTCTTTACCATCTGAACCACCAGGGAAGCCAATGGTGTGGCCAAAAAGAAGTGGGAAGAGTCCTTAGCACCACGCCTAAAGGGATAAGGGTGGGCACAGAGGATAAACAGAAAAGACCACCACCTCCCAGGAGCTGAAACCTTTGAATAAGGGAAGCTACTAGCCTGAGGTGACCCCACAGGGACCCCAACCTTGTTTCCCTCTCAGTTTTCCCTTTTGACCTTGGCTTCAACTATGAGGACAACAGAGCCCATTGCTAGATTCCACACAGATTCTCCTCTCCTGCAAAGATCAGGGTGTGGAAGGATGCAGAATGTGGCTGGAGGGGCAGACCAGAGCTGTCCAGC